ACCCAACATTAATCTGAAAAAATTTAAATGCCATATCAATTGCTTTCTACTGTCCTCCTGATTACTCTTTTCTTTTCCCGCTCATTAATAACACCGTGTGTCTTAGTAACTTTATTGTCTTGCTTCGGGTGAAATCGAATAAAAAAGAAAAGAAAAAAATGATTAAGGCTGTACGCGTAACGTAAATTATTTACCTTCTATTCACAAGATTCCTCAGGTCTTGTATCAGATTTCCTATTTGAAACTTTATTTTTTTTTATTTGGGTGGAGAAGGAAACAAAACTCTCCTGTAAAAAAAAATAATGATCACAGATATAAATTTAAAATAGATGTTATAATAACGCAATAATACCTTTACCTTTCCCGACAAAGAAAGCATGTTCAATCGTCTTTATAAAAATTTCCTCCAGTCAAGTTGGTTGGTTTTCTTTAGCTGTGTATCAATATCAATGGGGTATTTCATGCCGAAATCTAAATATTTTTGTGCAATTTTATACTTTCAACTACAGATATTTTTACATCATTTTATACTTCCAGTGCAAACGTATGTTTTTTACATATATAGTTTGTAGGTGGTAAAAATGTGTTGTTGCTATTTTCTTAAATGTAATGCTAGTAATTCCACTACGAAAACGTATGGTTGCTAATCTTTTAACAAAAATGTATTGCTGGTAATTTTAAGATAAATGTATTTTTATAATTTTTTACTACTTTTTTTTAAAAAAAATATATATTACTTCGTCCAGTCAAATATTACTACACTGTGAATTTGATTCATTGTAGAAATATTGAGATGAGTGACTAGTGGTGATCACACACTCATCAAATTCTTATTCGTATCGGCACATTAAAATGTTGATTTGGTTTGGTTTGGATTTGTTTTTTGGTACATCAACCTCAATGGGTTATTTAATACTGACAAGATTTTTATTGCTGGTAATATTTTTTATCTATCTATCTATCTATTGCTTTGGTTTGCTTTGGTTTGGTTTGGATTTGTTTTACGGCATATCAACCTCAATGTTATTTAATACCGACAAGATTTTTCAACAATGGTAATATTTTTTTTTTTAAATGCATTGCTAGTAATATTTTTCTTTTTTCAAAAATGTATTGCTGGTAATAATTTTTCCTTTAAAATTGTACTGCTAGTAATTTTTTTCCAAAATTTATTACTGGTGATATTTTTTCCAAAAATGCATCGCTGGTATTAAAAACTATTTTTTACACTTTCATAGAGATTTGATCCCATTGCGATTCTTGCAACCTTCAACTTATTTCGAAGTGAACAATTTATTCAGTCTACCGGAGTAGAGTGTTCTCTTTGAGACCATGATATCAAACCTGGGCTTGTATAATCGTCTTGTTATTGCTAGTCAGGTTTGAAATGTGTCTGACCATATCCATATTTACCTGAGCCAGGGCTCCGTCTCTGTGCTGGTGGTATCACAGCTACGACTAGCTTGGACCAGCTCTGACCAGCTTGGACCAGCTAGGGCCAGCGGCCCGAGTGAAAACACGTGGTCCTCACGTTAAAATCTGACATTGTGTCACAACCTGACTCAGTGGGGTGGGGTGGGGGTTCAAGTAAATCTTTACTTACCGGCCCAGGGATTGAACTCATAATTGTTATATCACCAAATTTACTCACAAACGCTTTAAATCCTTCGGGCCACATTTCCGTGAGGCCGATCCTGAGGCTAAAACTTGGTTCTTTAAACCTGCTTTTCCTTTTGACGCTTCTTCTGCTGCCGCTAGAAACAATTTTTTTCAATAAAAAGAAAAAGGGAAGATTCGCCGAATGGTAGACATTAAAGACAGAAGTTATGAAGACAATTATTCTTGTATCAAACACAGTTTACAATGTAGAATTAGTAGATACAAAACGTTAGTCAAAAATTAGTACTATATTGGATTGTTATCTGCAAAGAAATATCTACACCGTACACATTTTATTTTGGAATGCCATCTACATCGTAAAACATTATAACATATATATATATATATATATATATATATATATATATATATATATAACAAAGAAAATGCAATTAAAATATTATTTTTTTATTTATATTCCAGCGATAAACAGCATTTACATCGGGAAAAATGTCTACACTGTACAAATTTTAGTTTGGAATGATATCTACACAGTAAAAGATGGTACTACTTTGGCTTGATATCTACAAAGAAAATGTAACGAACTAAAAATAGCATGTATTTTACTATGTAAATATCCATCGAAAATAAAATTTGTACGGTGTAGATATTTTTCCTTGTTGATAAGTCAATATAGCACCCAAAAATTCAAGATTCATTTGTTGGAGGCAACACTAGTCGTAGTTAATGTGCTAATCACGCAAATCATTGCTACTGTGATGAGCCGCACTTGTCGTTTTGTGTCAGAAGAAACATTGTTTAATAATAACATGTTGTTGTTGTTAGCGAAATGTGATATTAAGTTATGTTTTAAATTCTAGCGATATTGTCTGATTAGTTCGTTGCATAATTTTTAGATGACAGTATTCACGAGATGTCAAGATGCAAGCCCAAAAGACAGGATATTGAATACTATTAAAAACAGGAATGCCTTCCTAGAAGATTAGCTTCAAAGTACGCATAACACTTCCATTAAGCCTTTTGCACTAATAATCTCAGGTTATTAAATGTTATATTGTAAAATAATGTGGAAAAAAATAAGGAAATTCTGAGAAGTAGGTTTGGTTTGGTTTGTTTTACGACATATCAACCCTTTTCAGGTTTTTAGTGTATTCTGTTGATTCGATAAAAATAGGTAAGTAGATATGGTTTTGATTTGACGATCAAAAATGTAGTCATAGGTTTTGTTTTGAATTTGTTTTAATTCATTTATAATCAATTTTTAATCAAATGCTAAGCAAGGCGGTAATGCCACTAAGACGCAAGGGGGATACTGGAAGGGAAAGAGAATACTTTAAAAGGAACCGGAAACCTAATCCTAAACAGGAAACAATGGATAAACCCCTACTCCTGTTCAAAAGACTGGAGAGGTGTGCGGACCTATCTATTCCTATTTAATGGAGGCAAAAAGGCAGACACAGGTTCGATTTGCACTAGAGACACAAAGGCAGACATTGTTTTAGTTTTCTGCGAGAATCGAAAAGATAGTCATAGATTAATTTTGAACGAGAGTAAAAAAGGCGGAGATGAATTTTGTTTTCACGAGTCATAATATAGACAGTTTTTTTTTTTTTTTTGCACTCGAGTAAAAAAAGATAGATCAATTTACAGTAAACAGGCGGCACTTTTGGTAGTAAAAGGAATAAAATCCGCGTACCCTCGACGTCAACTAACAGGGCGGTTGATAAGCAGAACATATTTACGATGTGTAGTTTATCTATACATCTACTTGGACAGAATGTTCTACAAGACCGAATTTAAAGTGACTTTTATTTAGTAAGTTTAGTTAGATTTTGGTAGAAGTTCAAAGCATGGAGTCCCCAGTGAGGATGGAACTCACAGTTCAATCTGCCTAGCTCGTTAAATTTTAACCACGCACCGAGGCATACATTTATTTTTTATTTATTCAGCTTGAATAAATAAGTGAATTCACTACCGAGTCATGGTAAGCAAAATCAGCTTACCTAATACAGAAATTTGGTTTACGGGGAATTTTGGCCGAGCCTACGAGCTTGGATACCCGACTTTAAATTAGGCCTTGTGCCACATCTGACCGCGTGATGCAGTTGTAGATATCCTAATACAGAGACTAACACTTTGGCATCGTGCGTATTAATAAATTGCGTGACTAGCTTGTTAATCATTACACTACGGGGAGGTGTCCCAAAAGTCTGCTTTTCCCTATCCTAACTTAGGTAGTCTTATTCACTGTTCAAATCAAACTTCCTTGCACTATAATATCACATTTATTCTAATGTTTTCATACAACAATCGCCAAAACATTGCATATTCTCAATGAAATTCTATCACCTCATATTTACATTTCAAGTATTCAGGTGAATACGCAAAACAATTATTGATACTTGCAGTGTTTTAATAACCCCATGATTCGAAATGAAGCTTAAATAATTTACAGCGATATATATATATATATATATATATATATATATATATATATATATATATATGAAGAAAATACGTTAAAATAGGACCTTTCTCAGTGTCGAATAGTATTTTCCATGCATAGCTTAGATGTGACCGAATGTAGGGGGTACCCATTGAGGATAAAACTCACTACTCAATCGTTATTGTTTCAGCAAGACAAGCTTGCTAACCATTATACAACCTTGAGGGGCGTACCCAGAATCGAATATAATAATTTACTAAGTGTAGGCGGGATGCAACACAAGACCGAAAGTATGGACTACCCAATGTGAATTGAACTCTTTACTCAGTCATATTTAATTTAGCGAGCCAATTTTAATAACCATGACACCACGACGAATTGCCCTAAAACGAAGTGTGGGTTAGATGTGGCATAAGGCCGCGAGTATGGAGAACCAGGTGAGGATCGAACTCACTCGTAATTAATCTAACGTGATTAGGTGGCTAATCATTAGGCTGCAACGAATTTCGACCCCCCACCCCCTAGCGATTAATAAGAGAAAAAACTCTGTCTAAAATAGATTACAATATTAGCGAAATAAATGTAAAGAAAGTTTCCTTTCGCGGGTGGGTCAGGTTCACTTAAAATAAATATGAAAGTTAACTCTTCCCAATCAAAAATAACCACGTGATCAACGATCGGCGTCTAACCAATCATATTTAAGTCGTGAAAGAATTCAGAATCCTTTGTTTCCTTTTAGTGGCTACGAGTAATCCGGAACGCATACGAGATTTTCTGCTAAACCATTTCAAGTCGGACTGACTTTAGTTAATTCATAGCAACTGGGCGTTCGCTTGCAGTCTACCTGTTTAAGATACTTAAAGCCGTTGAAGGAGAAAGTCCCCTTAATCTACAAAGGTTTCTACAAAAGTGCCTGACGCTAATTATCAAGACAATGGATTCCGCTGGAGACCTCCAAATATGTTATTTATTTGGCGACATTTTACCGTCTGACACCGACGACGAAGTCGAACTGAAAATTGACGAAAAAGAATCTCTTCCCAAGTCTTCAGATAAAACACCCGAAACCTCACCCTCCGAAGGCGAAAGAGCTCAATCTTCCGTGATAGAAAAAGTCAGAGATAACCATGCCAGCAAGAAACCGGTGCATGAAGAAATGTCTAAGAGGGGCGACTTCTACAAAGACTACATGGATTTAACTTCTTTAATGACTCACATGCCCACCTACAAAGCCGTAGCTCCGAGAATTATCTCCTTGATCGTTTCTGATCTGCAGTCGAGGCGTCTACGTAGAACAACCAAAGACGAAGTGCTTACTGCTGCGTTGTATAATGGTCTTAAATGCCAGCACTTGACCAGAAGGCGTTTCGCTACGTACGACCTTCTCCTGCCGACGAAAGAAGACTGCGAGGCGCTAGCAAAGAAAGTTCTCGTGTACGAACAACTTCGAATCCAAACCGAATACAGGGGCAGGAGGCTCATTAAGGTTACTCTATGCAAAACACCTGCACGTGTCACGGAAGAAAACGTGACCACGTTCTTTCAACAATACGGTGAACTCGTTAACCTCTCTTCCCGAGTGAGTCGTATCGGTTATCCGTTTCTAGAATGGGACGCGCAGCTCTATCTGGACAGGGAAAGTTTCGACTCCATACCGGAGTTCTTTACAGATCACGGTTTTCGATTACCCGTAGCTGTAGAGGGTAGACGACCCCTCTGTTGGAACTGCAGTCGCATGGGTCACTTGTCCGCTGACTGTCTAAAGAAAAACACTAATAGGCCGACTCCGACCCCGATCCGAAGCAGTAGGAATGTTTACCGCAGTCGGCCCGTTACACGACCATCAACGAATACCACTGTCGCTAACAAAAGAGATAGCGTCGGAAGTTTAGATTCCGACATTACACCGGTTACACAAGTTAAGCCTAGTCGTAATAGGCCGAGACGAACGCGAAGACAGCGCTCCCGTCTTTCTAGCTATTAACTTTGAGAACACCCATCGTTGAAGGGATTGCATGGTGCTATTCACGCGAAAGCTGTTCCCTTTTTTCAAGACTGGAGATAAAAAATATCCCAATGAAAGCAAGAAATACCTATAAGGACTTCGATTCTAAAGACGAAACTTTGCCGAATTGCTGCAAATGTCTGCACTTCGTATATTCCTAATAACCTGCCCTATGCAAGTAGCATGGCGGCAATATAGATATCTCTTCTATTTATCACTAGTCTTTGTTCTCTGCATTTTTCTCTATTCGAAATTGAATTTAAGCCTTCTATTAAGATTGAAGTATTTATTTTCTACGAATATTTCGTAGTTGTAAACTTTAATATTTACGTTTTATCATTTATTAACTTTATTTGCTACCTTCTAAATGTTAAGCTTGAACTTGCTATGCAGAAGTTGAGCAACTTTCAATAACTTAACATGAAACTCTTCAGTTAAGAAAACTGACATTCTCTTCACCCCATTAAGTTGGAAGTTTCTACTCTTACTTTTACAAGTAACGGTAAAAAAAAAAAAACTTTTGTCAGTTGAAGACCAAGTTCTTCAAATTACTAAGACTACTTAAAACCAATCTGTTTAACGAACATAATTAAAAAAATATTTGAAAATGGACTCTGTGATAATAAAATCACTTTCAGCCAGATAATATTCGGTTTTCTTTCGAAATGCTGAAACTAATCTGAAGTTTCCATCTTTCAGTTGGTTACTTTCAATATTGAATATTATGAAATTCTACTTGCATATAAGTCGCCTTCCTTAGGCAATTTCGGGTTAATATTTGAACCATTCTGACTGAAATTTTTTCCCTAAATGTTTGTTCGATAACCACATAGTTAATACTAATAGTATATACTAAGTGCTTTGGAAAGCGGAGTTTCTTTTCTCTTTTTAAATTGGTTAAGTCGATTTGAGTTTCTATCGTTGAGCTTTTTTAAGTTCTTGTAGTTGGGCCATGATTTCTGTATTCTCGTAACTGAACTAAACACTTTAAATGAACACCTTTTTACTTTTGCCTCTTAATAACTGTTCCCGCCCTTTTTAGTATAGGACACAAGCGACCCTTGATTACTAAATGTTGCTATAATTTAACTACTTGTTTTCTTTTTCATAACTTCCACTTGCAAGCCTTTGAATCTTCTAAACAAACACACACTGTGCCACAACCTTTTAAAAACCGGAATTGCATCATTCCAACGAATGGCCAGTCGACCACATTTCTAACGTGATCTACTGACCTTAATACTGCATAAAACCTCCCGGCTTTATATTGTAATAACTGTATTTTAAACAATACATTGGCGCTGAACTTGGACTTATTTAACTGATTCCTTGACCATATATCTTTTCAGGTTTGGAAAGATTAACATTTGTAAATTTTACTTTTGTTTATTTGAAGTCTTGTATACTCTCACTAAACTGGAATTAAACTTTAAAATCCAATTAAACTTAGCAAGATCTTTCTATGGCTACCTGACTCGGTGAGATTGCCTATTTACAAATTTGTAGACTATGACTGCCGTAAATCTGGCCATTTTCTAACAAATGAATGTCTTAGTGGGGTTAACATTACGTGTTCAGAGTACGTAAACAAAGATGAATTATACAGGTAATCATTTTTTTTAAATCGCATTTGAAAAATAGCGCTTTACCGAGCTAAGTACTTTTAGTGTCGAGCCAGTAGCAATGAAGTTGGAACTTTCTGAATAAAGTTTATTGTATCTCGAGTACCAGGAATTTGTAAGATAAACTTCAGTATGGACTTTTCACTAAACAGAATGGAAACGTAAGTCCTATCTGCTCTATGAGGAATTTTTTTTTCCTTAATTTCTAATACTTCGCTAATGGCAAATTAAGAATCTTAAAAACTATTTACTATAATTTCACATGTTGAAAAGTTTGTTTTGCTGGTGTCTTCTATTAATGCAAAAATAAAAATAAAAAATCTTAATTGCGGCTTAATTTATTTTCCTATTAGACCTTTCGTTTAATATTGTTCTAAATTTGATTGTTCACTTGCCATAATTCTAAGCTTAATTTTTGTTGGTTTCTCAAGTAGAGAAACCTTAGGGCACACAATTCGATTCATTTGCCATATATAATAGCTGGCAAATTGATCTCTCAATCACTAAACTTTGAGTTCCATGACTTTGGCTTTATGCCACCCTATCAGTTTTGCCGAATTTGCAGGCTTTTCTTCCTTAGTCAAGATATTAATTCTAAGAACAGTTTAGTGATCATAAAGCAAGGAAAATTACTTAATACCACATCATTCCCAATAAGTTATTTCTGCAAATGTTGGCGATAAATAAACAACGGCAATTGGAGAATTATTGTCATGTATTAAATGTTTATTTTTATCCAATCAGTTATATTTGTTACTCTATGAATTCAAAATTTTTTTTCTCGTCAATATCTGTTTCACATCTACAGATGAGAAAAAAATCTGGACTCCACTTACCTTTTGGATAAAACTATTTATTTTCAAAATACTTTCATGATTGTGACAGTTTGGTGACTCAGTTCGATAAGGAGATCCGGGTTTCATTGTCAACATGGTTGATTTGTCAAAGTTTGCGATTATATGGACCCGAGGACACTATTCTCGCTTGCGACATTGTTCGGAAGTGTCTGAAAGTAATACCAGATACTGAGCTCGATCGCTTTGGTCTTGTGTCAAACTCACGTAAGTAAATAACATTTCCGTGCCTTTGAGTATGTCTGGTCGACCATTATTAATGAATAGCGGGTTTGACCCCACCATCCTAAATTATTTTACATGGTAAATAACTTTGATCGCCTCCGCGTGGGGTAATCTTTAACGAGTTAGTCTGTTTGGTCACTACTCGAGTTGGGGGGGGGGCTTGCCGTTGTGCAACGTTACGTAAATGTCTCAATGTTTAATTCTAAAACTGAGATCCTTAGTGAGTTTTCTTCTCACTGGGTGCCCCATACATGTAACCTTGTGCCCAATCTAAGTAAGGCGAGTATAATATTAGCTTAGCTTAATTTAGTTACCAGTCCGGGCGAAACAAGCAAGGGCTGGCAGGCTTATCGAGTTAAAGCGTCGTTCAATGACAGGCGGCGCTACTTGTAAATTTCGTTCTGGGCAAATCAGCTGCAAACGAATTCGCGACTAGCTCCGGGCACTGTTAAATGTATTGGTTAAAGATCTATATCTTGGTCAGTGTACCTAAGGTCTCATGATCGATGGAAGATAACCAGGCTTGATCATTCTTATTACTTAATACGTACTTGCTCTGCTCACGAGAACCCCTTTTAGACATGATATAATCTTCGTAAGGGATTTAAATATGGTGCATAATGGTTAATATATGCAATGCCAAAATGGTCGGGGGAAATAGGGACCTATTTTATCGTAATTACTTGCACTGTTAATTATTATTGACATTATTTTTTTTTTATTTTGTCTTACGATTGCGAGAAAGCGATTGTTACAAGGGGAACGGGCATGATCAGAAGTTAAAATTTTACTTTATTTTTGTTTTTCCATTGTTACTTTGTATGATTTATTTTGAGTATTCGATAAATAGTCTTATGCTATTCCTGGAGATGACGATAAACTACATCCGGCAGCAAGGCCTCGATCAGAAGAATGGTTTTCAGGGGCGTCTACGATTGATTACAGAATTTTTTTTTTTTTTTTAAATACAGTAATCGTAGCACAAGACCGATAATCGGGAGTTGGGTTAAGGCTGATCGACGCTAGCTATCCTATTTCTACCTATTCGAATTTACGGCCCTAGGCATTCACACTTACATATGCCACAAGGTCACGAGAACTTATAATACAACTCAGCGCATAAAAGGTTCAATATTTATAATTGTATATAAAAAAATAAATGATGGTGATATCAATATTATGAAAACAAACTGAAAATAAATGTCAGAAGGTACCCGTCTACCCCTCAAGAATAAGGGTAGCCGCTGTATTCTGTCTTTCAACAAAATCAAAAAGCTCCTTCGTTAAGGAAGAAGATAAAAAAAAAAAATTATGAACATTAGCAAATTAAAAAAAAAAAAAAAATAAACCTGACCAGTAGAGATGGAAAGGGCAGGCCAAAACAAACTGGGTAGGTTGGGAATCTCGACTGAGATCATAGCAGAAGCCAGGCATTATATTTACTCGTATTAACTAGGCACACGAAAAAGGGGTCTACCGTAACCAACAAAGGGCTTCACAGGAAATTGTCCTATTGTGAGTTAGGAGGACGTAAAAAAGAAAATCAAGGCTAGCCCTATTCACACGAACCAGGGTCGCCACAGTTACTCACTTTTCATTGAAATCTGTCTATACCAAACACCTTCAGGAGCGTCCTAATTGCTTTTGTTCGCAGGTTTACCCTGACCCTGGGTGGCAGGACCACCACCAGGTCAAGCTGAACCGGAGAACACCTATGAGCAAATAGTAAACCCCACTACCAAAATAAAAACAAAAAAAAAACAACGAAACTAAGCACTATGAATCTATAAAAATACATTTTTATAGTACAAATACCAGCAATACATTTTATATAAAAGTTAACCTATTTATAGTAAAATGACCAAAAATGCATTTTATAGTGGGATAACCAACAATATAGTGTCCTGGGTAAGACGATAATCTACACCCGACAGCAAGGCCACTGAGGTTTTGAGAAACGTTGAACCACCTTAATTGCTAGTGTTCTCAGGTCCCCCTTGACTCGATCTGGTAGCAACTGTTAGGGTTCCAGCTATGGGAAAATAGTAATTTTTTGTTTGTTTGTTTTTTGGGTTTTTCTTTGTATTTTTTTTTGTTTTTTTTTTGTTTTTTTGCTTCACTAAGTATAAAAATATATTAGCGTAAAAATACCAGCAATATATTTATTTAAAAAATGACCAATACTAGATATTTACTTGCCCCTCACCCCAGTGAGTCAGGTTGTGACACAAGGTCACTTTTTAATGTGGGGACCCGAGTGTTTTCACTCCGTTGGTCA